CCTGAAGTTCTTTAGAGCAGTTAAATCGTACTAGGAGCGTCTCAGTACTTTTGACGTATTAAATTGCATCTCATTACAAATTTTAGATACTTATTCAAGAAGGGTCAGCATAAAAGACATTCCCGATGTTGACCTTAGCTGCTGAAATCTTAATATAAAAGTTTCATGTCGGAGTGTTTTTCAGATCGCATGAAACTTTATTTACTCCTTGCTCGAGGATGTCCACTTTTGTGTTGTAGTGTAGGGTGAATAATTGAGATGTCCGATTCTCGCGAAATGTTGAAGACGCGAACACTTCGTAAGTTTCTTATTCGCCATCTTTTTCAATATCCTCCTTTCAGCTACAATTTTATAAGGACATATTCGTCAAAGTTTTCGCACATTTTATTGTATTGTAATTGTTACTCAATATTTGACAATTATATAAACGAATCGAATAAATGTCGACTCCATGTCTTTAACAGCATTGTAGAAGCTTACGAAACTTCGGAATAATGTAGATTGAGGAAGAATCCATCTCAATTTTCACGTTGCTAGCAACGTGAGACATAGTCACGTTGCACAGCAGCAATTTGAAAAAGGGCCAATGGGAAATTAAACCCAAGTCATATCAAAGTCGTTTATGAAAGTTAATATAATAATTAATAACACACGGGTAGCCTTCTGTGGTATACGTTGAGTAATAGTGCTGAAAGCCCACGTGCCTTACGGGAAGGCTGCCGTACCTACTTTTTATTAAAATGAAAACGTGAATTGGGTAATTTCATAACTCAGTTGTTGAATATGTTCAAAAGCTACGATCTGCAAGAAGAAATGCCACTTCTAATACATAAGCGTACTTGTCTCCTTTTACGAGTGCCTTGCTACGCATTTTCAATCTCGTCCATCTATACCCTTAAAAGTATTTCTCCTGCATAAAAAAGTATCTAATTGAAAATATTGTTTGCGACAGTAAAAAACTTAATTATGCTCGGTGAGTGAAATTAACTTTTAACGATCATATACTAACTTTTGTAAAATTCGCTAAAAAGTATCTAATTTTAACAATGAATAAGGGGTTTAAAAAACCCACGATGGAACAATACATCAGTATTAATAATGAAGTGTTATACTAAAGCGTCAATTAGCTGAAATCGATTTTTGTACAATTACCGGCAGAACAACGCTTGACGACGTGTGTTAACTATACTATATAAAAATTATTATATTAATGCGAGGTGTTAGACGAGCTTATAATATCTCCTGGAGCCTGTGAAACTATTACATAATGTATGATTTTCGTCAGAGAATCATAGCTATACATTTAGACTACCAACATTAAGGAATGGAACAGAAAACCAAATCCTTGCCAAATGACTTCATACGTAATAATTTTACATAATACAGGGCGGTTCCAATCAGCCAATATATACAGACCGATACCTTTAAGAAGAAATTTTTTTGATAATTGTCAATAAAATATTTTTAGGTCAGTTCTTAAACAGAACCAATCATTAATCTTACACAAATCATTACAAATTATAGTATCTTACATTTAGTGTTCTTTGCAAACGATGGTTTTCATATAATTTAAACTCGATACGGCCTTTCTTGTAGAATGGTATGTACCTTTAAAATTAGCCAATGATAACTTGGATCTAAAGGAGAACTGCCTATACGTGTTTACTGTCTACGGTCAAGTAACTTTCGCTGTCCTAATACAAACTTTTTCCATATTCAACCGACTTAAATTGTTCATGGGCACTTTAATTTTCACAAGGGAAAAATTTTACAGGATTCGAAACTGTCATTTTAGCTTTTAATCTATCCATCGGAAAACGTTCGCGAGCGATTGAAGTGGATTTTCCCCTAACGTGACATGAGCGTTACTGAATCTTTGCGCACGTTTTATCGCAGTGTTTTGGTCGCATTTTTCTCCAAAAAAAAGTACAAATATGAAAATGTTAAACCAGTTAAAGTGGTACTTGATGTATCCTCTTAGTTTCAGAATCGCTCTCACTTCTGAGAAGTGAGAAATCTCGTCTTTGGGTATGTTTTAAAATTGATATGATAGTAATATATGTAATCTATAGCGTATTTAACCACACAATTTGTTGTTCATATTATTCAAAGGATGTGGATACAAATTTATTTCTGAAATTCTAATGCTTTACAGTACTAATTCGATAACGAGGATGCTAATGCTAACTTTACGAGGGAAACCTCTTTGGATTTTAAAATAGCTTCGAAAATAGCTTAATGTTAAATTAAAATTAGATTGATTATTTCAAGTAGATAATTCAAATATGACTAGAACTGGTATAAATCGAAATTTCAGAATTTTAGAAATTGGGAAGGGATGAACTATAAAACTAGTCTGGTTACATACATAATCTAGACCGAAAAGGTGAAAATTTAAATTATTTGTCATTTTATTTTAGTCTATAAAATGTCTACATAGCTACACACACCGCCGCCCTCTATGCGAATCACTTAACCCATGGCCCTTCCAGCTGACTAAATCTCCAATTCCCTCTCTGGTTAGTTGTGTAAAAAGCATGGTGTACAATACAGAGCCCCTAGAACAGACCCTTGTGGAACTCCTCAAGCTCCAATAGTCTGCAGATACTTCTCCCCATTTGGACATCTCTTTGTAGAAGTAGGAATTTCTTTTTTATTCAATGACTTATGGAATTCTAAGGCTCTTGATAATGTAAACCATGATGCCTTGTCCACGTTTGGATTCTCTAATGCTTTACTACAATTTTTGCTTCTTACTTTTCACTTCTCTATATCCAATATATTCAGTGCACCCTCAGGAGTACCACAAGGGTCTAATTGAGATCATTGTTATTTATATTATTAATTACTCATTTGGTCGTTCAGTTGCCCACATAATTTCTCGTGATAACTATTTATAATAAATTGCATAAAATTCAAAATCACAATCTGCAATTGTTTGGTCTATCCTTATCGAAGTTTAAATTAATTTAATTTGCTGATAGTTACTTGTAACATAAGTTTTTTTCGTTTTTTCTTTGTATAATTATATTCTCAGATTTCATACCGCCCGTTAGTAAGGGAGGGATTTTATTGGGGTAAAAAATAACCTCCACTTACCACACACTGTTTTGACGGAAATACACGTTTTGAAGCACCAGGAATCCGAATGAAACAAAATCTCGATGATCTCCGTATGACTCTCATTTCCGGCTAAACTGCTGAACCGATAGGTACCATGTAACGATTTTTTTTTCTCCATTGCGAAGCATTATTATTGTTTGCGATTTAGTACTTATTGAAAACCTCCCGTAACTTTTGGAGAAATTTGATAGATGGCTCAAACTATTGAATTTAACTACGCAACTGTTTGGTGCAGAGTTGACGGGGCATTTTTCTGAAACTTCCATTTCCGTTTACCTTTTCGTTTTGCACGTTGGTCGAAAACTAATGGTGTGTTATGTTATTGAGGATTTGAATAGGAATTTTTTACACGTGAAGCATTTTGCCAACCTCTTCATTATCTTGTTGCATTTTGACATCCGATATCTGACTGTTGAGCCGACGTAATTTAATTATTGGTACAATCGTATTCGTATTGATTGGTTTCTGCGCCCTCTCGTTAACTTAGAAGTATGTGTGTTGGGATTTTAAGACGGGCGGTTTTACTTTGTATTTTATTTTATTATTATTTTATTTTCTGTAGAGCGTTGGGCTATAAAAGCCGGCGGTCGGGTGTTCGAACCTGGGCTGAGGTTTCCACCACCACCAGTTTCAAGCATTCTTCCGACTACTCCGAATTAGGTTTTCCTAGTTCGTAAGGTAAATACTGGAGTAGTTAGTATAGAACAACTTAAGACCTTCTGCAAACATACCAAAAAGAGAGGGATAATAAAATAATAAAATAAAATAATAGTAATTCTGGTAAGTTTAAATTTGTGCGGGGCATTTCTCGCACAAATTCAAACTGACCGCGACAAAATGGCAGACCAAACGTGTACAAGGGCCTTTAGACATAAAAGAAAGACCTGAAAATCTTTTGAGCAGAATCGCGCCTTTTCTGTTGTTTTGAGAAGTTTAATAAATAAATAAATGATTGTGGTGTCTGATCAAGGAAAATCGGTGTATATAATAGGTTCCCGAATCTGTTGAAGTTTTGATGGTGGTGGAGAGCCGGGAAATTTTATAGAACAAACAAATCTGAGAATATAATTATGAAAAATCGGATGAAGGAGATCAGTTTAGTTTTAATTTTCTTTCCACATAACAATATTTCAAAATGGTTTTGAATTCTTAATAAGAGCTGTTGTATAAACGTACCCAAGTAATAGTAATTTTATTACCGTATTGTATGATCAGGCTCACGGTATAATATCGCTGTTGCTTCAGGGCGACTAGTTGCGCATTTATTTTACCCCGCTTCGTTATTTAATAAGTTATAAAACTCTGATTTTATGTTTCTTTATAGATGAAGATGGAATATGAATAACTGGAAAGAACGGGTGGTGTCTTATCAATAAAACAATGCTCCGACAACATTGGAGATACATGCCTGTTTTGTACAGGAATGTCATTAGCTATTCGAAGGATAAAGCACTAAAAATCAATGCGGTTATGAATAAATGACAACGCGAAAACTATGTGAAGGGACGTCATTACAAGCTGGTTGTATAAAACAGGAATGCATTGGAAAATATGTACAGTGCGCATAAATCAAAGAACAAAACCGTTCCAATGCACACAGGGAATTTATAATACTCATTATAATACAGGATTTATCCTGCAGACTAATTTTAATAGTCAATAAAACAATAAAACTTTATCCAATTTGAGCAGAGAACTTTGTGCACGCTGAACAAAGCGGCAAAACAGTTTTGTAAAGTTTTGAAACTGATGCATGTACGAAGGGGCGCATGTCTGCGCGGTTTTGCGAAAAACGCACTGAAGAGAAAAATTGTACTATAAGTAAGGACCTTACAGACGAGATGAAAACTCATGCGGCGTTCTCTCAGAAATTCAGTCGACTTCCGCATTTAGTGTATGCCGGCTCACAGTCGGTGTTTGCGCCATAAAGATTAATAAATTTCGTACAATTTAAGCGGTCATTTTAACGAAAATGCAGTAAATTACCAAAGCGCATTCGGGCAACTACCGCTTCAATTTTGTCCACAAGAAGTTTTCCGACTATAAGCGCGGTAAGTGGCAAACCTTATTTGGACTTTGACACCTAGTTTAAATTTCCTCCTTTTTATAAATTAACTCGCTGGCCATGTTGAGCAATTTGTTTTCGATTAAGCCTTTTAATATTATCAATCATTTCTGAAACAACCGATTACGTTTATCGTGAGCTATTTTAAAACTTGTAATAATGGAATCGTTTCAATTCACTCTGACCGCAAATCAAAAACGTTTTGCTCATTTTACGAATTGGTCGGCGATTGAGACCATATCTCAAGTTCGCCATGCGCTAAGCTAATATTAAAACAACCAGAAAGTTTAATTAAAGTACACCCCGGAAGCTAGACGTCTTTGGAGCTACAAATCAACAGATAGAAGTGAGGTGAAATATTCTTTAAGTTCAAACTACGATAGTTCAAACTCAGAGCATTATTTAAGCGGTTGGCCAAACCGTGTAAACAACTTATATGAAGGTAATTAACCCTTAGTCATTTTAAACGTAGAACATTATCTTGCAACTTTGGTTTCGAAAAAGTTGCGACAGACGTTCGTTTATTTAACTTCACTCTAATTGTTTTATCTTTGCTGTAATGTGTATCTTACCCCAATTGGAATAGGTATTGCTTGATGTTGATGATACTACGGAGAAAGTTTTACGATATTTAAGCTTATCCATATTTGCCAAACTTACTCAAACGCAAAATGAATTTAAATAGACAATGGAGTACTTAATGAGAATTTATACCTTTGTTTATTATTCAGTTCTCGTGCTTAACAGCTTTTGTATTGTTGTCCCACTTTTAAACTGTAGGGTAGGTTTTCTATTTCGAGAAACGGCAGATTAGCAAAAAGCTTTATTTCCTTATTTCCCCTTCACCCTTTTTGAGCGGTGTCGTAGAAGTGTAGAAGGGAAGCATTATTTATTAAGGTTCTGTAAGTGAAATTCAGGAACATGTTTCCGAAGTGAGTATATCAACTGATTGTCATGTCTATCACCTTCAACAGATTCTCTGTTACTCAGGTCTTTATCGTGGTGGATGAAGTAAATAATGTTAAATCGGTGGTTTTTCCGAAGTTTCATCAAAGTTTTCTTAAGGTCTTCTCAAGGTCTCGATTTTCTTGACGTTCTTCTCCAGCTTCTTTCACTCATTTTCTTCCTAAACATCTTTCAAGATCCCTTCGCAGGTGGCCCTCAGTATCTTTCTCAACGCGTCAAGGTGGTCTCCACCTATTCTACTCAGTTCGTATCAAATTTATTAAGATGATCTAAATCATTTCGTTTAAATTTCTTCATTTAAATCAAGTGGTTTCTATAAATAAAAAGGCATTCGATTTAAATCGGTGGTTGGTAAAATTAAAACTTCCTTCGTTTGGTTCAATTTAAAATAAGCTTGAGTTTTGAAATGATAACACGACGCGTGATGCCATTTAACATTTTTACAGGAGTGGTCCGCTTAAGGTAATGGTTTGAGAGTGAAGGGAAATTAAGCACAAATGAATTTTTTTATACATTTTTCGGAAATTGGTTTAGTACGGATGTGTGCCTAAGCTAAGGGGGGTGCGATGATAACCTGGATATAATTGTAACGAAAACTATTTTATTTGGATTTGAGGTTTAACATTTTTCGCAGCCATAATCAAAACGGGAATTTTCGAATTGTAAGAATGTCGGGGTTCTAAATTAATGTAACGTAAATTTAACTACGCCGTTTTATTTATTTACAATTAATTAACAATAAATTTACAACACGATTAATCGATGTCTATTAGTTCTAGCCCTACAAGTCGAAAAAATGCGATTATAGGACGTTTGATGATTAAAGCAAGGCACTTTGCACAATAAGGGTTTACAGTATAGTTGAATTCTGTAGTTCTAATTTAATAAGCGTATACCTGTAACCTCGCCTGTAACCATAAAACAATTTTTTGGACAGTAAAAGTTTAGTATTTAAAAATAGTGGCTGATTAGAAAAAAAAATGAACATGTGCGGTATTAGGGGTTTATTCAAAACCAGATGATTGTGGCGGGCTCTGTGACGTAATAAGCCCGACCAATTAGCTGCTAGAATCATTCACCTGTCACAGGCACTTGTCACTTGTCACTTGTCATTCACTTTCGCGTTAGATGCAGTTAAACATGCCTCTTAAAACCATTGAGATAAAAGACTAAGGAAGGAGGGTTACATACATAGGTACAGGGTGGCAATTTGAAAACTTACCATCCCCCATGTCTTAGTAAATAAACGAGATATTTAAAAAAATCAAAATCCGTTTCGGTAATTCGGAGGGGGGATCACATTGACATAGTTGGCGACGCACCCCCTCCAACCCACTGCGCCCCAGCCACCCTAACTTTTTAGGGTGGAAATTAAATCCCCCTACAGTACGATTGGTAAACTAAACTTATTAGCTAGCAACTTATATCCATCTATAATGTTTTTCAAAAACTAAACACAAGAGAAGATTGTTACCTATACCTACTCTCTAACAGATGTCCTGTTACTGTATAAGGTACCGACTACTCCAGAAAGCCCCAAACTTTTTTTTACATATGTATAAGCATTAAGTACGGATATTTTGTTATTGCGTAGTACACTGAAATTATTTATTGGTGTAGTGTCATTACAAAAGGTGCCAAGTTTAATTTTTAACATATCTACAAAACATTATTTTTGTTAATATTAGTATCATTCTCCAAATTCAGATAATTTGGGGACAACTAAGTGCATTTAAGTGATTATTTTAATTGTATCTTATATTCATTTATTATAGGTATGTCAAACAGTGTCGGAACGAGATACGATTTTCATATCCGCATTTAATTCGAACAAAAATATGCACAATTATAAGCCATCCAAAACTTAAAAATAGCGGCATTCTTTTGTATTGTAAACGGTAGAAGCGTTGAATGATTTTTCATTCAACGGTAGAAGTCTAAACACAGTTTATCCTCTCTAGAACCTACCTGAAACCTTTTCGTTCCTTATTACAATTGCATGTTTACTTCTCAGAAGCAAGGGTATTTGTGAATTGTGATCACAATGGTTTAAAACATAGTCGTCGGTCGTTAAATGAAACGATACTTTAATTTTTTACAATGAATTTTCTAATTTTGGTGTGCAAGGTAAAAAAAAACACCTGTTGGACAATTAACACCTTTTCTGCTATTCCCTTTGCATAACAAAATACATGGTATGATACGCTTATGAGGTATAATATTGTAAAAATACACGACAAAAGCTCGTTACCACTAATTAGTACTTATTGAAAATAAAAATGAGGTATCGTTAAAAGCATAATTAATATCCTATCCACCTAGAAGAAAAAAAATTTCTCATAACAAATGCTTCACGAGTCAGTGGGGTTGTAAAACCCAACCGGTCCTCGGTCCTTTCATGTATAGTTGTCCAGATTTGAAAGGTATAGGTATGCGAATTTCGGTGAACATCACGTAAAATGTCCCTATTTTCACTAGTAGATTTTAATTTGCACATGTGCGCAGAAATATCATCTCTGCACGAATGATAGCGTTATTACTTATTACAACAGCGAACAAACACCGCGACGCATTGCAAAATAAGCCTTACGATTAAATACCAGTACACAATCTTCAATCACCAGTAACTAAGTCTTCTGCTTTGAATAAGTTTTCTCATAGCATTGACTTATTTTCACCTTTTCTCCAATATATTAAAACTTGGTTATGTTCAATCCTTATTAATTATGTAGTTGCTGAAATTTTGTATAACCGACTATTAAGATTTATAATTATATCAAATTCACTTGCGTATTGACATTAATTTCTTAAAATATCTATATTTGGGACCAAAATGTATATACCTACTTTATATTATGTGTACTTTTACTTTGATAATTTCTGTAATAGGCATTATTGCTGTTGGAATTAAATAATAAATAAATAAAATAAAATTTAAAAAAATAAAATAAATACATAAGGTGTCAATAGGTAGTTATTTAATTGGGTCAGACGGTCCAACAATTCAGAAACAGTCGAACTAGGATGGAGAGAAATTGTTGCAAGTGTACCGTGTCCTCTTTTTGTTGAGACTGCGGTGTATCTCAGCTGTTTTTAAATATAGAGACCCTCTGCCACTTTTTTGTGCAACTGTGAATACCACGATTAGTATTTTTTAAATGCAACACCTTGTATATCTTAACGTCAATTTTTTACATTCTTTTCTCTTGTTACACTGATGTATCACATCCTATATTTTTGTTTAAATTTAGCCATGAACCAAAAATAGAAACTAAATTAATAGTTTTTAATTTTTTTTTAATTTATAATTTTTAAATAGTAGGCCATAGATTTATGAAGATTTTGGTTTTTTTGTTGTATTCATGGTCGCCGATACCAATCAATAGAAATGGCTGACGATAGAAACATGTCATTTCAAAATTTTTGAAAAATATGAAATAATATATAATTATATAAAAAATACAGGTTATGATACATAATATAATTCGGAAATAATTGACGATAAAATATACACGGTGTTGCATTTAAAAAATACACATTCACACATTTTTTACTATGCCACTGGATTATACGTGAAAATATCTAAAAGACAAAGTTTTTATCTTTTTTCCACCTTGTATGGGTAGTAAGATATTATAACATCCTAAGAAGTTAAACTTTTCGATTTCGCCCTGCATCTCAGAAACAAACGTAGCTAGATTGATTCTGTTTGTGACATTACAATTTTCACAAAAAAAGTGGCACAGGGTCGCGAAAACCCCAAGTCTGTATTGTTAAAAACATGTGAGATACATCGCAGTCTCAACCAAAATAGGACACACGGTACAACAATCGACTGCATTTAAGTACTGTACATTATCATCTATCGAGTAGTAGGTAAATTAAATTATATTATTTTATTTGTCACACTAATACTGGGTTTATAGAATCATTATCATTAAAAGGAATAGCTAATAGAAACAAAGGTATGTATGGTTTCGTTGGTTAGCGACGCTGCGACGAACAATAAACCTTTGTTTC